ACGGCAGTCTGAAGAAAGGTTACTAAATGTAACGTTTTCCAACTGGTTAAATGCAGTTGTTGTCTTTTGCTAACAGGAGATGAAAAACGGAAGTTGGGAGCATTCAAAGTACTGAAAATGAATGGCATTGAATTAGGTTAATACCTTGGATTTGAGGTTACAAAGTCATCAAATATATTATAATCTGGATATTGTGGTCTGATGCAACCAACTTCACTGGCAGCTACATCAATATCCATGGAGTTGTTAAAAAATCCTTCTTATTTTTCTTTGCATCCCTGAAAAATATGTTAGACAGAAAACGGTACCTACCTGTTCGGAATGTAGGTCCTACTTACTCACAGTCCGTTATTAATATCTGCAATAATTTTACTATTCATCTGCTTCTCTCGCCGTGCTGCAAGACCCTGCCAAAGGAGGACCAACTTCTTAACACAAAATGCATTAGCTCTAAGGGAAACGACTTTACCTTATAAAGTGGTAATTCCTCAGGGCAGGTTCCGCCTCGATGGTGACTTGCTTGAACCTGACCACGGGATATCTTATCATTTCTAAGGGTATGGTTCCAATTAGGAAATGGCATCCTACCCTCCAAACGACAACCCATGACTTCACGTTTATCACAACCTGTTTTTCCATCGTAACCGACAGTTTGTTTGACATTATAACGAGCAGGTGTGCCAAATATAAACGCTATAACACTGACAGTTACACTCCCACCCCACTTGTCAACGCACAGACCGTTTTTACAAAGATCTTTCAATTCAACTAATAGGACCCTAGAAACCTTATTGAAGTCATTCGGTTTTCTCAAACCACCGTGTATGCCAATTAAGAAAACGTCACTGACGTATGGAGTTGGGATACGACCTAGGAATGGCCACAATTGCTGCGAAGAACTGTTCGATATAGATAAACCGTCATATTTGATTTGCAAGCCAGTATGTTGAAAAGTACCGTAGTCAACCCAACTATCTAGATAACGCTGCAGATTTTCCTTCAGTTCAAGAAATCTAGGTACACACATGCCGCTGTCTTTTAGCAAACCTCTTATGGCTGTTGGCACATGTGAACTAAATTTACGCATACAATACAAGATCTCTTGCACACCAACCCCTGTTACATTGGATGGTAGAAACAATTCCATAATTGACTTTCTGACCATCTTTTCAGGAACAACCTGAAGTCCTATCAAAATTATATATTACATAATAATTCATGTTACGGTTCTTCTCAATTTGTGAAACAACAGCGACGGTCTCACTAGCACTAGGTATGTCCACTGTCCCCTTTACAGTTGAACTTGAAGGCAAAGGTACTGTTTTATCGATTGCCACCTCTTCCCTAGATGCGCATTAACGTTCCCAGAAGTCCCAGTCACTAAATGCTGCATCACGTAACCGTTTTTGATGGCGGTAAAATGTGGAGTAGCTGTATACAAGGCATTCATGCAGTCTACCTGAAGATATTCTTGTCTTACGACTTGTTGCAGAATATTGAATACCCGTATCTAACGCATTATCGGGGTTGTTTTCTTGAAATAGAAATGGACAAATAGTATACACCGAAAATCTAACTCACCTGCATGATTTATAAATCCTATAAGAATGGTCTCTGTATGTAAGGAGTGCCGCTCATATGCCTCTAGGCAAACATCCGTTTTTTAAATACGAAAAGGGATGACAGGTGAACTGTAATCACAACTGTTAACATTTTCCTTACAGCAAGTATTTGTTTTCAACTGTGAATCAACACAATCTGCCCCCTTGTTTCGTTTGGATTCCCAAGGTTTTAATATATGGCTTCGTAAACAGAACTCAGCAATCGAAACAATTTACATTTCACTTAAGACAAGTGTCCTTTTTCATCTGTGAGATTTCAGCTTCCCCTCACACCTTCGGTTCATTTAAAATTTTTGTGTTTCATATTTTCATTAGCGAAATTCATTTCATTCATGACACGTATGCGTTTTCATCTGTTGTATTTAACCCATTTTTTGTTCTAATAGTTTTTTGCTTTTCAATTGGGGGCCTGTCATAAGTGAACCGTTATCAATAATTCTTACACATAAATCATGACAACTGTATTCTTTCGATTGTTTAAAGTGCATTGAACATGCCCTGTATGTTCTCTCAAAATTATTTCGGTTTTTCATTTGTGACCTCGTCTCAAGTGAACTGTAATCAAATTCAGTGGCATTCCACAAACTAAATATATTATTCATTGCAGTATTCATATGTGACCAATTCACTGTCCCCTACCGCCTTGTTGAACTATGTTTTCGTAGTATTCTTATTTACTATCACGCCTCTGGTTAGATAGACCAATCATATTATATGTAATTCGCAGATAAGTCTGTAGCTGTCACACTACGTATTCTGTGCGAAACCTTTCTTGCACTTCGAAGTGCAAGAATTTTAAACAGGACATCTATTTAGTCTCGGGTTAGGGTCGAGTAAGGGATCCAAATCAGCACTTTGAGAACTATTGGCTGGTTGCTCAACAATTTAAGCGAAATAAAATGACGTCATCTCATTTCTGAAATTTATCTATATGCAATCTAAGAAGTTTTATACATGAGCATAAGTAGTAAATTTTCGACGTACTTACATAGGTGATATGGTTTCGGTTAACTAAGAAGAAAGGAATAACACTCCTAATCACGAATACTAGGTTAAAGAAATATCAAAATCAGGCCTGACTGTTCTTTTGGAGACAGATATTGAGTTTCCTACTGTTGAAGTGTAGGAATTCAGATGAATACACAGGTGTTGTTGTGTTCTTTACGAATACTTGTAGTCTCAAAACACACTTTCTGAGATGGAGTTGTCCGTAGCGCTGCAGTCTAACCTAATATCCATTAATTAAATAAGGTTATTTAAGAGAGTTAACCTAACTTCACCCCACCCTAGATGTATCTGTATAAGAGTAGTCAGTCGTAAAGGATGTGATATATATTTGACAAGGCACACATAATATGAATAAGGATACCGTGGTTCAGTCTCTTGCCATGCTAATGTACTTGTATTTTACCATCTGTGTGTATAGCCTACTAGGGCTAAGTGTTTGATATTAAGTAGCTCCGATAACCAGCATGTTAATTGAGAAGAGATAACAACAAGTGAGTGATGCGACTGATTTGATAGTGAGCTCTTACTGACTGCCTTCGCACTAGTGCACTAGTTCAAAATGTGCTCTTTCCAACAGATGTATGAATTCATACATATCAAGCCTACTAATCATGTGTGATCAGATCTGCTAAACTGATATTCATCAAGTGACCAAAATATTTTTGGATTAGTTCCCAACGGTAAGCTAGAGATTGTTTTGCGGTTTGTTTAACTGTCTTTAACTTTCTGTGTAAAGAAGTTTATATTTCACGTGTAGTCTGCATTTGCTATCAATCTTGAGAAAATGTGCTGCAAACTGTTTGCAAATATATATTTTTTTAAAGTTATCAGATATAATAGATCTACCAGTTTGTTTGAGTTTATATGGCATGATGTGCATTGGCATTGTACCATGGCTGTTGAAAACATACCACTTGGATTATTTTTCTCTACGTTACCTATCAATAACGAGAATAAGTATAATTAAATAATGTTGGCCAATTATTTGTGTTTTGTCCAGTTAGAAACAAATAAAATATATCATGATGAATTAGCTAAGAGTTATGACGTATTCCCATAAGGAGTGACTTTTTCAAAGTGTAGTTGCATATTCACGTAAATAATTTGAACGATGGAAAATCAAAAACTTTATATTTCAAGTGAATTTTTTCAAAAACCTCCTTTTTAGGCACTTGAACAAAAATCAGACATATACCTCTACTTCACACCATAATAGTAATTACTCCAAACAATAATTATACAGAATGGAATTTTCAGAATTTTATTCTAGTTAACCTTTCTTTTTCAGTTAACTAATTTTTTTTATATTTGTGAACTATAGTCTGAAAGATATTGGCGATTGAAAAACAGCTAAGTAAATATCAGTGTTACCACTGTCTGTTTATAATATCTTGTTTTTGAGAGGTTGAACCCCATCATATTTTTTTTAATTTTTTGTTTTATTTTTGATTACAGCTTGATTCCACACCGTATTTTCAGTACAAGTGTGGAATTTTCAGCATGTGATATCGGTAGCCCAATATTGCAGGCCGACCATTGATATCGGGTGTGCGCCGGCAGGGGATCGAACCCCGGACCATGTGCATGGTCGGCGAGAGTCCTAACCTCTGTGCCACCGACGCACATGGCAAGTCAGTAATTTTTTGAGGATATCTCAGTAGACTGATTTCCTATTGTCGTTGTCCGCCCCATCCAACCGTGTCGCACACTGGACCGCTGTTGATTTTTTGCTGACATTCCAATTTTGTACATCATGTAGTCCATAGATATTTAAATCACTCCTAGGCTATGTTTCGCTGATATTTATACTGGTCTTCTGACTTTTGTACTACTCTGCGAGTGGGCCTTTGGTTCTTTGAATTAACACTGCATTTTTAAGGCAGGCCTGGCTTTCTTGACTTTGATCTAAAACGCCTTCTTAAGAGATCGGTCTTTCAAAGATTTTAGCGACTCTGCATGAACACTCAGTGGTAAGTCTAAATACACAACATTTCTCATCATGTTTTTCTTCAACTGTCGAATACAAACTTATAAGCCCTACTAGTAAATTGGGTTATTTTATGTCATATTTGTATGGAGTTTTAATTGTCGTCAAACATCATCAAAATTGGTTACAGAAATGTCTTAAAATTTAGTTAACAGTGAACTACACCATTATAGTGAACATTTTTCTCCGGGAAATCAGGTTATTCCATAGCGATTTTCCAACTTTATTGATTGTCTTTACATAACCACGCCCTAGAACTTTGTTGAAGATCAATCTTGACATCATTTTCATGTTCAAAATCTATTCAGACAGTTGATTGAGGTACATCGTGTTTCACTGAACTGATGACTTCTGACTGCTAGTTGTCACATTTTTCTAATATTATGATAAAGTTGATCAACACACTAACTGATTATGTGTTTGTTTTTATTCTAGTGGACAAATATCTTGTTTGTGACACTGGTTCAGCAGTGTTAATGGATTTATTTCTCTTGGATTTATCTGTATGGGATGTCCATCTATCCAGTTCACTGAACATACAAAAATTATGGGCCATCGTGAAGTTTGCTAACTTTAAACCTTTTGAGTTATTTCATGAGCCAAAATATATTGAGTCGTTCCAAGTAAGTGAATAAATCAGTCTTTAAACAGATAATAACTCTAAAACAGAAAGGAAGTATTATTGAGATGTGCTTCTGTGGTATTTCATAGAGAGATTTGGTTCAGTGTGTGCCGAAGCTGATGACACCACTCTAATAAACTTACTGTTGCTAGGTGCAGTTTTTCTTCCTGTGCTTTAAAGTTTCAGTAGAGGTGGGGTCTTTTTACTAGGCCGGCTTGCTAGCCCAAAACTTAGCCTTCCCTGTTTTCTGGACTAAGGACTAGCTAGTAGACTAGATGGGATTCCCCACCAACAACAAACACCAACCGCCATCAGTATGACATCTGAAAGAAGTAATCTTTTTCAACTCAAATACAAGCAAGAGTTACCGATGAGGATGTCGAAGTCAGACAGGATTGGAAAAGCAAGATAGGCGTTCATTACTTTGAAATCACTTCGGAGATATGCAACACTTAGCACAAGGAAGTTTTAACACTAATTTAAAGTCTTCGTTTCTACATAATTCAGAGGCTTAGTACGCGCGCCACTGAAAGCATTTCAAACAGATTACTGCAGATTTTTATCAACAGAATACCAAATGGTCGGAAAGAATGAGCAACAAGGGAATATGGCAGCGAACTAATCGACAATGTATTACCAAAAAATACGCATGGGGAATTCTAGATGAATTGAACATACGCTGTGGAGACATTCAAGTGATATTGTAGTGACAGCTGTCTGCTAGCAAAAATTATAGACAACAATTTACGCGAATGTTGACGTCCCGAATCGGGGTCCAGAGAAAAAACAATAAGAAGGCCTAACCTTGAGGAACTCACCAACCAATCACAGCATACTTAACGTGTACAAATAGGATTCGCAGATATGTACCTTGACTTTTTGAGAAACGGTCACAAGCACTGCAGAATAACCTTCAGCAAGAAAACGACCAATCAGAAGACGTTGCGTCTCTGCTAATAATAACGCTAATAATAATGTACATAAAAATCTATAAATATTTCTTGATTTTCTCAATAAACGATCAGTTGACTGGCCCTTGTCTTCTGTCGTTACAATATTACACGCCAGGGCGTAGAGTTAGGCCGAAATAGGAAGCGACGGCGTAGACGTGCATTCGAGGGTGACACGCAGTAGAGAGGGAGATAGGAGTTTGTGGAAATTCGTCGAGACAGCTGAAATTGGGGGCACAGTATCGATTTCAATTTAGATGTGCCCATGAAGCTCTATGTACAACTTATTACACAAGGAATGAATAATAATGCAAAATAATTTAAGTGAAGTTTAGGGAAAGATACTTATTAATCGTAATTAATGAAGTGACACTTGATAGTTGATTGTCCGAAGCTTGACATCTTGAGCTGTCGAATGATTCATCATTAAGGTTTATGTAAGTCGTTTCGGTTTCGATCCCTAAGACAGTCATGTGTGTGCAATACTAAAAGATTTTAAATGAGAATCAAGCAGCTGTTAACTGATCCTTGATCTCCAAAGTTATTCCAGTGTAAAAAAATTAGTCCCACACAAACCTAAAATTGTAAGTTTGTTTTTTAGGTGCGTCGTTTATTCTTAAGGACTATGGTGGAAGTATGCAAATCATTATTCGTGAATTGAGAGTTTTATAGATGTTTGATGACACCCTGATTGAAATGAATTATCAACGCAGAAATTTGCGCTGAATTGTGTCACTTCAATCTACAACACTTTGGGGAAGCACAGATAAAAGTAGAGGAGGGAAATATAATGCAATTACGATGCAAGAGTATATGCCACAAGACGAACCATTCAATGAAGATTATGGTACATTTTTAAAATCCAGACGATCGCTGACGGTCTCTGTTCACTGTTAATATCTTGATCACCTCAACTTCATCGATTTTGAAGGTAACAGGACCAGACGGAATTCCCTTAGATGCACCTAAAGCGCATCCGGATACCTCAGTGGATATACTCACGTCATGTTGCAAGCAGTTTGGACGGAAAGTAAGGTACTTACCGATAGAAAGATAAGCTACCATGTCAAACTTCCAAAGAAAACCGACTTAAGCCTTTGCAAAAACTGATGCAGTATCATGCTCCTATCCACGTCAAGTAAAATAATAGTTTTCCTCATCCTGGAGAGAATGAAAGATGTTCTGGATGTAAAACTCTGCCTGGAACAAGATGGATTCAGGAAAAGAAAATCATGTGTAGATCAAATCGCGACATCATCGAGAAGAGCATAGAATGATGGTCAAATCTCTGCCTCAACTTCTTTGATTTTGATAGTGTTGTCGGTGAAGTAATTTCGAAACTGCTCCAACACTAAAAAATGCCTTAAACTTTTATCAACTTCATTCAACAGATATATGATGATGCCATATATGAAGTGCTTCACAACGGAAAATTAAATGAAGCGTTTGAAGTGAACACAGTCTACCCACTATCACTAAGGATATTTCTGATTGTGGTGGACTGCATTGGGCAGCAGACCATAGATAGCGAGAAGATAGATATACATTGGGTTGACAAGAAGGTTTTAACTTTACCGACGATGTGTGTCTAATATCACACAAACTAGGAGATCTACAAGTGAAAACCAACAAGTTGATAGATGAAGCAACGAAGGCAAGATGTTTAGGGGACATAGAGAAGACAGAGGTGATGAAGATACCTAACCAAGAGCAAAAGGCATCAGTCACTATCAATGGGAGGAATTCAAAGGAGGTTATGACTTTCACTCATATAGGCAACTTCCTTTCAACTACAAGCAGCACAGATGAAGATGTCAAAGCAAGGACTGGAAAAGCAAGACAAACCTTCATTTATCTGAAGCTGTACAAAGCATAAAGGGCGAAATTCGGATTTTTAACGCTAACTTCAAGTCGGTCAATGCTTCTAAATGGTTCAGAGACTTGGCGTGTCACCGAAACTATTTCCAACAGGCGTCAGACTTTTATCGACAGCTGCCTTCTCTCAATACGAGGAATGATTATAAACAAGAAACTCTGGGAAAGAACCAACCAAGAACATATTGCCCAACAAATACGTTGCAGAAAACAGAGATGAATCAGACACACAGTGAGGAGATTATTGAGTAATATCTCTTATCAGGCCCCCTAGTGGAACGCGAGTGTTGAAACGGCCAGTTGGACGTCCGAGGGGAATAGGAAGAAGATGAGAGTTCTTGGGCAACCGTTGAGCCAGCTAAAGAGGAATGTAGAGAACAGATAGAAAGTGATGTGCTATTGAAGCGATATTTTCCACTCGGAACCTAAGGCAATAATAATAACAATAATCTTGTGGACCCCAGCTGGCCAGTCTTCGTGGCTTAAACCAACACTCAAAGACTTTGTGGATGAATGCTGGTTTTTAGTCAGACAGCCCTTAGATACATTCCAACATCTTACTTCAGATAGAATTGCTCCTTGATGCAGCTGATGGCTTGGCACGGGCAATTTTTATCCTATCCACTTCGATATATGAATATTCACAACCTCATTGACTGACTTTCCCTCTTTACCTCAGGGTCTAACCTTAACCAACTTACTACTTGCCATATTGCTCCACCTGATACGATAGGTTGAACCTAAACACAGACAGTCAAAAACCGCTAGTCTCTTCATTTCGTCTTTCTTTGACAGCCATTTTTCACATCTGCAAATTAAGATTTAGCGAACCGCTATATAATACTCAAGGTCCGGATGACTCAGAAGGAGTAGGTATTTTCAACAGATGAGACGTTGTCTTTCCTTGTGTTTGAAATTAGTACTGACCAGGAAAATGGTTATTATCCAAACAGCATTGTCAAGGACGGACACCGTTGTCGATTCATCGACATGGGACTCCATAGATACCCTCAATTTACTTCTTGAACCCCGTTTCTTACTTGAGCATCGAAATCACCTGCTAAGACGGCTGTATCTGAGCGTTTCGCTTTAGACAGCAAACTAGAGAGTTTTTGATGAAATGCATCATTTACTTCCACTTCATTTTCGTTAGCGCAAGCGGAGATTATGGAAAACTGTTGACGATAATCATAACTTTTACTTATCCTTACAAATCCATCCATTGGAACAGCAAACTCTGGGATGTCTACTGCAATTTATTCGCGTACAAAGTTTTCTCCTTCCTACGCAAGGTAGTCCACAAGCATTAGCCAAAGGATCCTCCGACACCAGTAGGATGAAGTCTGTTGGTATTGGCCATACTGGGTTAGGTGAATGAGCATATGTGGTTCTTGCAAACGTGTCACAGAGACACGACATGCATCTAAGGCCCGATAGACTAGAGTTATGACCAGTAACAGTGGTCAAAGTTAACAGAAGATGAAAAATTTATTTCTGTAATAGTATCAACAAGGGCAGTAAGGAAGAGGTTTTGTGTGATGAACATAAGAACTTTTAGGAGATAAAGAGATGTCAACGTTCACGCAAAGTACGATTTATATAAACGCGTGTTCTTATCCCCAAACTCCTATAGTATTTATTCTGTGTAGACCAAAGACAAATCAAAACACCAAATTGATCATCCGAAATACAAAATTTATTTCAAGATCAGAATCATAGTACGATAACAACTGTCTGGCTAGCTAGGAATCATGCACTAACTAGTGGACGGAGCACGACGGTGTGCTAGATGGTGTGGGTGTTTGACGGCAAACCTTCAGCCTAACGAGTCGACTTAAACACTGAAGTTTGGCATCCAGTGCTGGGTGGTGAATGCTGTAGGCGAATAATTTTGAGGAATTATTTACCTCTACAAACTTCTTGTGATATTGGAAGTATTTGGGGGGTTGCTACTTCCAGGGTAAGTTGATTCCTTCCTGAAGTACCTGAAAGAGTAATGACATTGGTAACCACAAAGACCGGTGTCATACAACTTTTTGGTGGCTGGGGTTTAAATGTTTCGTCGGCTACAGACCACTGCTAGGTATGTCTGGTTGTAGGACTTTTGGAGTTGACCTTTTCTAATTTCTCATGTCCATAATGGAAAAACAGCATACCTGGCCTGATACTTATCCAAAAGAAACACTCT